GCTAGTGTCTGGGATCAGTGAGTGATCCGCACTTGGCACGGACTCCGTGTTAGATAAGGCGCTAAGGTCAGAGGTACAGAATGAGGTACTGGCATGGGCGTCTGCCTGATCCGAATCACCGGTTCCGGAAGAACGGCGCAAATGGGAACTGAGAAAGTCGGAATCCTCTTCTGGGGATTGTGGCCGACTGGACAGGCCAGGGACGGAGTAGAAAAAGTTACCATCTTCAAGAATGTGAACACCTTGGAAGTCAACTGGTAGACCAATATTGGGACAAAAAATGGAAGCGATGGAAATTTATTAGCACAGATCGGACACAAGACACATAGAAAAACAAGTCACGTGCAACTACGATAGGAATATCTTTAAAATATCATGTTTCGCAAATAAGATAATTAACAATTGCCTAACAGAAGAAGAAACAAATAGTTCAAACCGGAAATGATGACAAAAGCTAACCAGGATTGTCCATTTAGTATCGGTCTAATCTGATGGAAGAATCTGAGAAAAGACAAACACGATATAACGTGATGCCGTTGAGCGGTTGATTTTGTACATCTAACTCGGTAGATGCTTTGTACGACGCATACATGAACGCTGTATACATATCCCAGTTGTGTACGGCGAACGGAATGGGCCAGTCACACAGGGGTTTGTGTATCGATCTATTACGCGCATTATTCTTACGTGTATAAGACGATACCCCTCCCTCTCCTTCAAATGGCATATTCTATAAGGCCACCCGCTCGAAAGCAGAAAAGGAGCAACTCCGATAATGTAATGTGACACACGCGGTGTACACCGGATTATGTAAGGCGGACAGCATAGGCAAGAGAAGCAATATACCGCGACTAGTGAGTGAACAATCGCTGTCCTCCTTACACATTCTCACTTATCTCGTATGCATTATGAGTTTGGCAGCGATTAGTAAAGTTCGCTTTACCGTATTACGCTATACAAAGATGATGAATAATTAATCGAGACTTGAAGCAATTAGGTGATTAAGTTGTGAGAAGCCCAACCAAGATATTAATCTGATCGAAGGAGCTTCAACATATCGAGACCAAGCAGATCGGACTACAAGAAGTCATATTTTCTGCTAACTATAACGCACCAATGTGCATGTATTTGAAAAAACATCGATGTGTGGTCTAAATTGACTCATTAACGGTTTTGGAGAGAAATTACATGTTAACTGTAACGTAATCTCTTAAACAGTAGGAGAAAAAGCTGACCGATTGAGCATCAAGCATCATGGAAAAAATAGAACCAATCTGGTATAAAGAAAGGCTTTGGTTAAACAGAAAAAGCAGATTGGTTACGATTCAATTCGATGCACGATGGTCTACGAAGAGCACTGATGGGACCCAGCAGCAGTATGTGTCCCTTTAAGGACTCGAGCCGCGACCTATTGGCAGGGAATCTAAACACTTATTAACG